TTGTACTAAAGCCCGTTCTGTTACAAAAAAAAAAAAATCAAGTTACCGATGAAGAAAATCGACGGATAAATACGAAATATGAGTGGTCAAATGAAAATGCGCAAAGATTTTGTGTCTGAAATACGAGCATTAAAGCGTGTTACTCATACGCCACGTACACCCGCATAACACGCTTTACTGCTCGTATTTCATATAGAAAATCTTTGCGCATTTTCATTTGACCACTCATATCTCGTATTTATCCATCGATTTTCTTCATCAGTAATTTTTTTTTTTTTTGTTTGTAACAGAACAGGCTATAGTACAAATGCAAAAATTTTTTAAATATTTCGTCTGTTAAAGTTTGATTCTTTTTCAGTTTTTCATCAAAAAATTAAAAAAAGCTGGAATGATTAATTAATTTGTCAGAAACTAGAAGCCCTATCGGAAAGTGATGTATATACCAGGGACCAAAAATAACTGTTATCTCGAATTTACAAATTGAAAACGTTGCCCGAATTCTGAAATTTAACGAAAACGATGTTTCATAACAGTTATTAGATGAGAAATATGTTTTCCGTTGCCGATAATAGTTATTTCCCAACGTTTATTTTTTACGTTGCCAATAACTGTTATTGCACAACGTTTATTATTTACGTTGCCCATAAGAGTTATTTCGCAACGTTTATTTTTTACGTTGCCGATTAGAGTTATTTCCCAATTTCCCAAGTAATTAGCGAAATTTTGTATTTTGCATTGATGCAGACTTTCCAGTGGATTGCTCTTGGAAAAGGCTCAGCGCGTACATACATATGAATGTATACAAACATCACTAGCTACGAGTATATTGATTTTGAAATCAGCTTTATAAATAAAAAAATTAAAATATTTGAAATTACTTACATTCTTTTAGATTATTTTGCAAAGGTGTTCCGGTAAGAACAATTCGTCGTTTAGTTCTCATCTTTGTTACTGCTTTACTAATGGATGTTTTCTCGTTTTTTAGCAGGTGCCCCTCGTCGCACACAACCAGATCTGGACCAGGATCAACTAATGATTGCTGCAATGCCTCGCGTTGTTTCTTGCGTAAACCCTTTGCCTTTTCATTCGCCAATATACGGTACATATCATATCCGATGACGCATGCTCCGCCTTCCTCAAACCATTCATTCAATTTAAAAATGCGAGTAGGTTTATCCTTGTACTTGGACATATCATAAACTTCCACATTACGTTTATTGGCAAATCCTATCCAATGTTTAAATTCACGTGCCCAGTTGTTAAGAGTGCTTAATGGTGTTATTATTAATACACGTTCTACGCCTGTTCGCCTTGAATTCACCAACAAGGTGTGGGATAGTGTCACAATTTGCAGTGTTTTTCCTAAACCCATACAATGAGCCAGAATACATCCTGATCCAGCATTGTCTTCAGCTTCTTTGATAGTTTCAAAACAAGCATCCCACATAAACTTAACACCGGAAACCTGATGGGGCTTCAATTTCTTTAAAATTCCTTTGTCAACTTGAAGTAGAGGTTTCTTTGTTTCCTCGTCAAAATCCAATACTAATTCAGTGACTTCAACATTTTCTGGCTTTTCATAGATTTGATTGTAAAGCTTTTGACGTTCTTCTATGCGTTTGCGACGTTCTTCCTCTTCTTTAGCGGCATTCTTTGTGCTTATATCAAGATCCTTAGTTTTAATTATTTTGCGGATATGTTTGCGTTTGTTTTTATTCTTTTCATCGGAATCGTCATCGTCATCCTCATCAGAGTTTGCGTTCTTTTTGCCCCTTCCCTTCCGCTTACCAACGTCATCATCGTCACTGCTGTCTTGGCCGCGTCGAATGCGTCCGCGTTTTTTCGCAGCTGGCTGCGGCGCAAAATCAGAATCGTCATCACTACTCTTTTTTCTTTTATAAAATACACGTTTTTTGCGAGCCGGTATCACTTCACTGTCACTGCTTTTAACATCGGTCTCTTCGGAATTTTCTCCATCTAAAACTGTATCATTCTTTTGATTTGTATATTCCGATTCAGATGAATCGGAGGTCATAACTTTTTTTCTAAAGGATGCTGACGGTTTGTTTTTAAGGTATGAGTTATTGTTGCTATTTCTACGGTCGCGCTTATCTTGGGTTTTTATTGAAGTATCTCCGCCATTAACTTTAGAACCAGCTACACGTTCTGCTAACAGGCTGTCCGTGAGAGGGAAGGGTGTCCTTTTTATGCGCACAGTACACTGCCTTAAACGGGGTAATTCTCTCAGTTTCACCGGCGGGTTAGACTTGCTGGGCTGCGCCGACGCCTCCGATTTTGATGGGACCGATTTTTTGGTTTTTGAAACGGACTTCACTATTTCTTCTTCCTCCTCGCTCTCCTCACTATCCGTCAAGTCAATGACCACGCAATTGCTTCGGTTCTTGCGTTTTGGTAATCGTCTTGTCTGGGCGTCCGAGAATGTACTTGTTCTTTCGTTATTTTTATCCACTAATGGTTTCTCCAATAGCTTTTCTAATGGGACAACGCGTAATTTAAATTCAGTCGTCGTTTTTTGTACACACAAGGTAGTTTTGTTTACTGTTTTACTATTGGATGCCGAGTCATTATTTTCACTGCAGTTGCTTTTATCATTTCCATCTGAGCTGGAGCCATTTTTTGTATCTTGATGTTTGGGATGAGATTTTTGAGGAATTAATTTACTCTCTCTGTTTTGGGCAATACTACCGTTTAGCTGATTTTCTTCCGCTGAATTTGCATCAGAATCCGAATTTGCTTTTTCGTGGCCCATAGATGCAGTTTCTCAGAAAACAACACAATATACTTTCGAAACTATTCTCTGCTGGCTTGGGTTTTAGATGACTTCAAGTAGCATCCGGATTCAGACTATATGTATATTTGAGCTCAAGCGCATCTGCAAAAGAAATATTAGTTATTTAACCTATTTATTTTATTTTATTCCCACTGATGTGTGTATAAATTGTCGAATTTCACCAATGAAAAAATTGATAATTTTTTTTAATACATATATATGGCAGCCGAATACAGGACAAAAAATAATTTTACCAATTTTTTCCACAAAAGCTAGAGTATTTGAAATTCTTTTTCAATGATCCTAGATTTATTATCCCAGAAATATTCAGTTGCAACATCAACAATACATATGTATAATATTTTTCCATAACTTTGTACTTTGTGCTCGGGATTTTTACCCCGTAAAATTTGTTACAAACATTCCTAGGCAGGGAAAATATCCGACTACTTTTGAAGCACAAGTGGTATTCAACGGATTATTTTCAGACTCGGATTTCGGCCAAGCACAATGCAGTGAATAGCATCCGTAACGAGCTGAATTGCAAGGCGTAGCCTTCTTATTTGGACATTCTCTGCGACATGAGACAATCCCTCATACAATGAGCAAAGATTTTTTTTTTGCCGTAGATTCGCCTAATGAACATATTCTCCCTACACAAAATTTGGAAATTGCCTCCACGCCACGAGCCACAGCAAGCTGCGTGCATTTTCTTGTTGGTTTTGTGAACCATATACCTGAACAAAGGGGAGCACTCCATAATCCCGACTTTAAAGATCCCGACAAGACATAACAAAGACAATTTTTAAAAATCCAGACAATAAAAAATCCAGACAGGGCATAATACAGACATAAAAAAATCCAGACCAAATAAAATACAGATAACACATTATTCAGACAAGACAAAATCCCGACAACTCAAAATCCCGACAAGACACAATCCAGACAAAAAAATACAATGGCTGCGTTTCTTTATACATTCCGGATAATCCCATTTCACAGCCGGAATAAACAGAATGCGTTTGAAATATACGTTAACATATCATCAGGAACGTTCTAAAGAATAAGTAAACAAAAAAGTTTATTCCAAACGTTCAGAATGAATAAAGAAATACAGCCAATGCGTCCGGCAATGGAATTGATGACTTATGCTTAAATATAAACGGTTATCACTCCACATTTTTTCGCTCCTTCACTGCAAGGAGACTAACCTTCTCCCCTACAAAATCCTCGGCAACGAGTTTACCACAAGGACGAAAGCTGCGTATTCTCGTCGATGGCAAACCAATTCCGACGGTGAATAACCGAAAAATAGTCGGATCCAGCTCTCGTTCCCGGCGCATACAACCGAAATTGCCAATAAAGTACAGAGCCGTAGCATAGTCCTCAATTCCCCAATTCGGCAGTACTTGGACAAAGACAAATAAACGGTGTTGCAAACATACAGGGCAATTGGCCGTCCGACGGCAGTGGACGAAACTACAGACATGCCACAATACAACACCCCGGACACCAGGGGATGCCCTCTGATGTCGCCAGATCATAACATCCACAGCGTAGCCGAAATTCTCCCAGTAAGGGGAACAACATCATTCTCAGCAAGCGGTTCCTAGTAGGGTGCTACAGACGTCAGCACTCGAACTTGCTAGAGCCGAAGGACCAGGTCCAGCACTACGCACAACACCCTTGGGACTGGGACTGTACAGACAGGCTATTAACGGCATTTCAAACTCCAGTCGAGTGAATGCCGTCAACAGTGCCAATCACCACCTGTGAACGAGAGTGAGCTTCAATTGCCACGAGAGGCCCAACTTGCCTCCCAACATCCAAAATGAGTGTCCAGCAGGTGGAGATCCCCCCCATGACAACAACCACGTCTTTACGTGCCGACTCAATTCAACTCAACAAACATCCCTCTCCCTCTGGTTCTACCTCCCTCATTGAAATATCAAGTTTCCTGGGCCTACCTTTAGTTGAGCCTGCGGACAATTACGGGCTAAGTAGGCCCTTACAACAATAACAACTTTGTCTTTTGTTCTTTTGAGTGAAAACGGAAGACAATCATGACAAAAATCCCGACAAAATATAAAAATAATTTAAAAATCGCGTGCGAAAAAGTAAAAATCAGCTGCCCTACTGCTGCTACCGATTCAATATGATTTGCTCTACACAGAATATTCCATGATACAAAAAAGAAGGTAGTTTCACTCAATGACTTTTGCCGCCATGTTAGCTATTTGACTTTTGCAGCCACAAAAAAAAATATTTTTCAACTGAAAAAATTTCAAACAACAGATTTTAGAATAAAAAATCATTATTAATTTTTATAAAATCAGAAATTAATTGCCCGTGTGAAAACTGTAGGAATGAAGGTGTATTAAACAAGGTGGTGTTGGGGCGACAGCTGAGTTTTTCGCCGTGGAGGCCATTACGTCAAAATGATGTGTTTGTTGTAACTCATACCAATGACAGTATGGACATCAGCGTATAATTTGTTAGTGTAATTTTTTACTTATATACGGCCAACACCACCTTGTTAAATACGCCTTGGTAGGAATCTTATAAATTTGTGCAAGGATTCCAGATTGAAATTTTTAAAATTCTCTCGTTTATTAAAAATAAGTCGTTAGAAGCTTGTAACGTGAGGGAATAAAATCTTCCCGAAGTGCGATTTGTTTGTTCAAAGTAATATATTTTTTTTTTATTTATTTATTTCGGTTCAAGCATTAGTACAATAAGATTCAATCTTTTATAGTACAACAATGATAAAAGTAAAGATAATATAATATTACGTTCAAATTGGCCGCATTTAACTTCTTAAATGAAAAAGAGCTTTTTGGAAAACACAATCGTCCACATTGAACATTTGGAGTTAAGTTTGACGGTTGTTTGATTACCAATAAAAATTCGAAAAAAAAATATTCAAAATCAAGTTTTTGTGCAAGGCGAATTTATATAAGGTGGTGTTACTAGCTCAGCTGATTTTGTGTATGTGTTTCGCCGCACGGCTTCTGATATCAAATTAAAAAATTTTGTTTGAATTTCTACACACACTATTACAGATTTTGACAGTTTATGCCGCCAAAGCAAAAACAAAATACATGTAAATTTTTGTTTTTGTACTCCTGCTATCACCTTATATTAATTCGCCTTGTTTTTGTGTTTCAATTTGTTTTGTGCGAATGTCTGCTTCATGATATTAACGCATACGGATTACTTAGAGTCTTCAAAATGTTTAGTTGGTATGCACTATTTATCTCTGCGTACGATGAGACCTCATGGGAAATAACTAATTACCGCCTTGGCCTCTTTTTTTGGCGGGCAGACATGCATACAATTTTGATATTTTTTTATAATTTTTAATTTTTTTCAAAATATAAATTTTTTGAACCTTCGCGCGTCAAATGAAAGCTTTTGGGTCTTTCTGATTGGTCGGGGCAGAAAGCTTTCTGATACAACTCTGCGCTGAACTGGTTTTCAAATGAGTTAAATGATTTAACTGGTTCAATTTTCCAACAATTGCGTGCGATTTAACTTGTTTATGAACATGTTTGGTTCATTTAACTGGTTCAAGCCCATTTAACATGTTTAGCTCGTCAATTTGTACGTAGTATAATACTTATTTATTTATATATTGAAAATTAAAATTCTAAAATATATACAAACGCATATGACACATTCAATTAAACAGAGATAACACGGATACATAAAACTTATAACATATATACAAACATTATGGTATGTTAACAAAGCTCAAAAAATCCCTTAATTATATATTATTGCAAATACGTAGATGGTTCATCAATTTTTAGAGAAATAATTATAAAGAGTATTTTTGAAGTTGCTTCTGTTGATGTTGCTCCTAATGGTAGCAGGTATAGAGTTCCAAATTCTAATAGCATTGATGAAAAACAGTCTTGTGGAGCTCATATGTACGTATGTATTTCCTCAATTTCAGAGGTTTTGGAGAAACTCAATCGTATGTAAGTATATTTGCATACATATGTACATTATACTACATATATCACTCCCCACAAAAAAAAATTGGCACTGTTTCCCATTGGAATTATAAAATCTATTATATTTTTAGACCTTCACCAAAACATTTCGGAAAAAATATGACGATTTACGTCAGCTGAACCGATTTAAAAATACCTCCTTGAGTTTTTTATGAATGAAAATAGGTTTTTTAGTTTTTTTTTATGAAAAAAATCACCTCAGATGGCAAACCAGTTTAAGCTTAAAAAACCGAACCTTTTTTTAGTGATGCAGTCCAATATACATACATAGTACATAAATAGAAAAATTGCAGATTTTTTATAAAAATCCGCAAATCTTTATGGCCCTGACATGCCTTCTTTTCAGATTTCCTGCGGTGAATTAATGTAATGTAAAAATGCCTGTAACCGTCAAAAAAGTTTGAAGTGAAACTACCTTCTATTTTTTTATCATGGAATCAAGGTAAATTGAACAGGTAGTATCAGTAGAGCAGCTGATTTGATTTATTTTCAAATTATTTGGTCTCGAAAATGTCAAATATATTTAATTTTTTCTCACAAAAATTCTGAATTGTTAAAATCCATTTGCATGTGAAACCTTATTCCATACAAAACAAGCGATTGAATAGCAGCTTTTGGAACGTTCGCCCAACTCAGCAGCACGACCGCTGATTACTGGGCCTTGCAAAGGATGGATCAATGCTTCGAGAAGCAAACAAATTTACTAGGAAAGAAAGTGGCATCAATTTTTATTTTTTCCAATTTCAATTTTTTATTTTTTATAATTTTTTGTATTTCACATGGCACGCTTTGATTTAGAAGAAAAAATTCAGAACAGTTTTTGACACTTTCGATACCAGAAGCAACAACAAAATACTCGCAAACGTTGTTTTTGCTCTACTGATACTACCTGTTTAATGTGCCTTGCATGGAATATTCAACGTGAAATGCGTTGAAAACAAAAAAAAATTTATCAGAAAGCTTTTTGCTCCGGCCAATCAGAAAAACCCAAAAGCTTTCATTTGACACGCCAACGTTCAAAAAATGTATATTCTGAAAAATATTAAAAATTATCACTGATACCGTGTGTTACACATATCATTT